GTACATATAAATTATTGGCCGGGGGCCATTTCATTTCCCTCTTCGTCCTCATCTTCATCATCATCAGACAGGGGCTCAGTCTCTCTCCCAACAGCCCGATCGGCTTCCCTTTGCTGAGCTCGCAGGATTTTCTCGAACTGAGCCTGGATAATGTCATCTTTGGGGAGATCAGAAGCCTGAACCGACCTCCCCAGATGATTTTGAAGCTGAGCAACGAAGGGACGCAGCAAGACCTGGCCAATTTTGCCATAAAGGTCTGAAACAATGGAGTCGTTCCATTTTTTGGCCTCGGGGTCCTTGTCCAAAAGGGCCACCCCTGCCGATAGCCGACCAGCACCTTTGGGGAAACCCTTCAAATACGCCCCAAAGGCGAACGGGATTTGGGCCCTTGCATGATCATCCTTGATGATGGAGAATTCATCAGAGGACTTGAATGTATCCCGGACGGCGGACAGATCCACGTTCACTTCATAGGGACCGTCCGGGATGCTGGATGGCATCTCTTCAAATTTGACCTGTGCGGCCTCAGCAGCAAGGATCTTTGCCTGGGAAGCTGCAAGTTGAACCCGAAGGGTACCAAGCTCGGCATCGAGCCTCTGCTTCTCCTCCGCAAAGGCCTTCCGTTCGGCCTCCAGGGAGGCGATGGCGGCATCAGCATGTTGCTCAGCAGAAGACTGGGCAACAATCAGTTCCCACTCCTTGGCCAGACGGGCTTCCCGCATCTGAAGGGTGTACAAACCCATCTACAGAGTACCGTTCGAGAGTTAGTACTGATTACAGAGAATAAAATAAAAACAAAGCGCAAAAGATGATGTACCTTCAGAGCGGTCAAGGCCAGACATTCTTCAGATTGCTCGACCGACAACTGAGGAAGGGAGAAGTTGTTGAACCAAGAGGAGGTCGACCAGATCTGGCTCGCGGTAGAGCCGGCCCTCTCTAATACCTCATGGACAGGGTCGGATAGGGAGATCCGCTCGACCTGACCCGTAATATGGTCGGTATGGGTCTCACCAGCATTCGAGGGTTCCCCCCGAACGGAGTCGAAATGCTGAGAAAATTGATGCAGTTGATCAGAGCTGAACCGGTCGTCGACCAGCATGGTCTCGAATTGGTCCTGGTGGACCTGCTGTATTGGCTGAGGCTCTGGAAGCGGTTGAGAAGGGGCAGCATCCTGAGCAGGAATAATGGTGGGAGTAGGTTGGGGGTTCTTTCTGGATTTTTACCGTTTACCGGCCCCACCGGCTGCGATAACTCTGTTGTCATCCATAGGTAGATCTGGGTTTGGTGCTGAAAAAAGACAAAGAACAATGTTAGTATCGAGCGGCCTTAGCGTGTGAGAAACTAGAAAAAAGAACAAAAGAACGTTTCTCGCACGGGAAGGACCGCCCGGACCATGGCACTTGGTTTATCAAAACAAGTAAACCCAAGAGAACGGGCAGTACCTATCCCGACTGTAATAAGTCGCTCGGGAGTCAGATAACTCATGATGTCCATGCATTTATCCTTCTCCACAGCAAGCACGTCCTTGTAAATTTCTTCAGTGAGGACAGGATCAGGAGTCTTGCGGGGGAAGGCATTCCATTTGCGGGGAATTAGGCCGTCCGGGACAGACACGAAGAAAAAACGGTCTTTCCACCCTTTGATTGAAGTTGGGTTCCCCTTGAACAGGATGTGTCCCGTTCGGCCACTAGTGGCCAGATAGCCGTGAGTTTGTTGGGGGCTACCTTGAAGAATTGGTGAAAGAGTTCTAGGGTTGGTCGGGCGCCGGCATCTTTACAACGGCAAATAAAACCCGCCATTGGCCGATAGGAGTTCGGCATAATCTGGGCCGGCACAACTTCGTAGAAATTGAAGAAAGAAATGTAAAAGGGGTGTAGTGGAAACCTAAGGCCGGCCCTAATTGAGTCAAAATGGACTATGGTCATTCCGGGCCTATGACGCATTGGGTGAAGCCCAGCTTGCAAACGGAAATCCACCGGGTCAGGGATAAGGGCCGGAATTTCAGCCCTATTATGGGAGGTCAGTTTTTGCCGCCTCTCCCTAATCAATTTTAGGTCAAGGGTATGGCGAGGACAATCGTTGGGGCGTCCGGCCGCCATGGAGGCTATCTCATCCTCGGATTTGGTGTCATCGGAATCTTCACTGGAGGAAGAAGAAGTGCTAGGAAAGTCCTCCGCCTCAGCCCTGGTATTCGTCGCCGTTTCAGTAGAACCACCGGCAAACGGGACTGTGATGACGTCCACAATGGCGGCGTCACGATCATCTCCATGGGAGGCCATCTCCGAATCAGAGGAATGCTCTTTGGGGCTCATCTCGGTCGAGCCAGAAATGAAGATAGGGAATCCGGAGGTGAGAAATTACCTGAGCAAAGGAGGCAGGAAGAAAATTGCAGAGGAAACAACGAAGGCCAAGGAATTGCAGAATCGAAAACCCGGAATTGAGAAGTTAAAGGCTAATTTATAGCCTTGAAACCGCCGTGTCAGGAACCAATCAGAGAGCGATACGTCACTAGGAGCATTTAAGCTAAACACGTGTCTAATGAAAAGACTAAACGACGGTTATCATGATGAATATGGGGAAATGAAGCGGCAGCCGTCGAATCGCAGCATGGGGAACTGATTACTTCTGTACCCCGATCGCCATTCGGGGTATTATCACATTGATATACTTCCTAATGCACTCACTTCGTTCGAGACATTGGAAGTGGGGGACTTGTGTTGGGATATTGACCTAGAGGCCCAATACCCAGATCGAGAAGGCCCAAGATATCCGGCCCAAGCAACGGGCCCATCACTCTATGATGAATAGATCCAGTAAGAAGACATACCGAACGGAGTTCGACCCAAATAAAGGTTGGCCCAGTAAGAAGACATACCGAACGGAGTTCGGGCTATATATCATACTTGGGCCAATTTGACAGCATCTACAGTACAGCCCAACATACCGTTCGAGCAACGGCCAACCAGCAAGTGGCCAGGTGCAATTAATGCCAGACTGTGACATCAGCAAGTGGAAGCATGGATGATCAAGTCGGTGGAACAACGGCCAATCAGCATAAGGCAGCCCATGCTCTCCATTAGTATAAATAGAAGGTTTTCAAGTCATTGTAAGGGTTAGCATTTCGATACTCAGGCTCTAGAATAGCATAATTGCTCTTATTTCTTGTATTTAAGCACAGTTTCCGACCTACCGATCGGGAAATTCCTTGTAATCAGATTGGTTAATTAATACAAGTGAGCTTTCGAGTATTAGTTAGTTCAGATCTTATATTTCTTTACACGCTTTGATTCTGGGCCATTCCTGATATATCCAAAGTTCGTGTTGGGCTTTCGGATCTACGGGACTTACCCTCAACAAAGATAATAACTTTTTCTTTTACAAAAATATAAGAGTTTTGGCTCATATTAGTCAAGGTCGGTATAGACGTTTATCATGCATCCGTGCCAATAATTTCATGACAAAGTGTTGCTACACGATTTTATCATAAATTTGGCACGCATTCACAAAGTCCTTGTGAAATTTGTGCCAAAATTCATTTCCAAAACCCTTTTGTCACGAAAAAATTAGCACAAAGTTATGATAAGAATTTGTTTTAATGTGTCACAAATTTTTGTCAAACCCATTATTTTGTATTAAAATATGTTAAAATTTCGATATAAGAAATGATATACGGAGTATTAAAGTTGAGTTGCATTAAAAATAGGAATCGTGACATGATTTGAACAATATTTTGAAACGATGATAGTATTCTATTTCAACACCTTGTAGTCTGCTTACACATGATGAACCAGTTTGGTGATCCTATTTTCCGGCTTATAAACCTCATCGATCAACTTTTTCACCAAACACGTAAATTTGGATTTCGAACACTAAGTTTATGTAATAATCAAAATAAGTGAAGTTGGAATTACTCTTCTACCTGGATTGACTGAATCAGAGAACCATCAAATATATTAATACAAATATATTTTATTTATTTTCATATTTAACATAATCAACAAATTCAATCATTTTAGTCAAAATCTTATAACTTTCAGAACCATCAACTTATTCATACAATTTTAGTGTCACTAAATGTGTTCGTTAGTTGAATTGAACCACACAATACAAGCTCGGCATGGAAAGGCCTGACTTGTCTCATAAAGTGGAGAGTGAATTACCCGATATGAACTACAGAGTACGAAAATCTGATTACCCCAACAAAATAAACAGGGCTATCCAAAATAAGAATAAATAATTAAATTACCCGACTTGCATATTTAATTTAAATACTCCAAACTTTATACAAAAAGTTATTTTAGCACCATAATCAAGCATTATTTCTTTCAAAAATGTAAATTTATGATGTTAATTGCTTAATTGACAATATTTTAGAATTCATGAAGACATAATTAACATTCAAAACTTCCATTGCGATATAAATAATGTTATTTCGAATCTATATAATTGCAACGCTTAATTTACTATTATAAATTATGCCATAAATCCCATAAATTTTTACATTTAAGCAAAAATAATATATGAAAATGATGTGAAAATAACTTTTTATATAGAATTTGAGGTATTTAAATTGCATAAGAAAGTTTGAGAGGTTATTTGAGACCCCTTCTATTTAAGATTAGCTTAGAGCATCTCCAATGCTACAATGTGCACGGTGCACATGTGGCATGAGAGATAGCCTCACAAATATTAGTATATAAATTCTTTCTCTCTTTATTTGAATGATTTTGTACAGTTTTGGTAAGTTTTTTTTCAAAATATCAAGGAGACCATCTAAATGTTGACATTGATGTTGACATTGCAGAGAAAAACTTACCAAAATTATACAAAATCATTCAAATAAGGAGGGAAAGAATTTATTAAATAATATTTATGGGACTATTTCTCGTGTGATATTGTAGCATTGAAGATTCTTATTTTTATTACTTTTCCCTAACGAAAATTACTGGAAAATTTTGTTAAGGAATATCGGTAAAAACGCATTGAATAACTTTCCGAGAATCTAGCGTCCTGATCGCATACGGGAATTTTACAAAAACACTCCTTTTTAGGAAGAGCAGAAAAACGTCGGACTAGAAGCCACCGGGCTATTTCACCGATTGGTTTCCTGTACTTCGAGGTCAGGTGCTCTGGCCAACTCATTTTGCCTCCGGTACGTACATCTCCAGCATATCTTTTCTTACTGCGTTTTCTTTTATCTCTGTTTCATCTCAATCCTGACTGAAATTCATTTTGCGTCAAATTAAAGTCGAATTGGTGCCGTAGTTTTCTCATAGGCGCTCTATGAATTTGCAGTTATGTATGTATATGCTTTCCAAAGGGAATCAAAAGATGCTGCTCAAGTTTATGCTGTTTTAGAATCATTAGCTATTTAGATATGAAGGCTTTATATTAGAATTAGTGTTCAATAGCTCGTGTGTTAGAACGCAGGGTATGGGTGTGGGCTGTATAGCAATTATCTTTAGGTTTCAATTCAAGATTTCAAGTGATTCTACGGCCACCATCACCTGGGAGTCTGGAGATGACATACTCCCTTGTTTTTGTGCCGAGACTAAAAATTGCAACCCTTTTTTTAGCTGGCTCTTGTTACGGCAAGCAACAAAAAAAAAACTTTTGGTTACAGCGCTTCTCTTTGATGCTTTTTTCTTCATAGAACCATGGGAGTGTAAGGTGGCGCATTTAATTCCAAAAGTTTAATTGGATATAGTGGAAGGAGAAAGAGCCCTTTTCCTTTTAATGGGTACCTACTTTTGACATACCATTGTCAACTGATAGCATTTATAAGGTGTTATCACTGTCAGTTCTGTATGGATAGGGTAATGTGCCATGTGAGAATGTTTTACTTTGTTCTGCTTTTATTCATATGAGATGGTTATTTTTTATTGTTGACTTGATGAAAGTTGATGGGAAACACATTAACTACTCTTAAATTTAAACTGAAGGAGAAAGATGCATCATCATCATCATAATTACCCCAGTGCCGCAAACTGAAGGAGAAAGATACATACTTGAAAATTTAAATTTTAGAGGGCTTCTATCTTTTAGCATGAAGTAATCACATGGTACTATATTTAAGGGCTGGGTTCAATAGGTTCACAGCTCATGCGTAGTTACAAGAATGAAATCTTAGTGTAGTTAATGAGATCGAAATTTGTGATGAAATTGAGTGGAAGGTATGATAATCTGTTCTTTTGTTCTTTAGGCTTCAACGTAGTACAATGGGTTCATTTATTGATCTCACTGTTGAAGTTTTATGCCGGATGAAACATATGAGAATCCATTTATTTCTTTTGTTTTATACTGTTTAATTTAGTAGATACATTCATTAGTGATCTGTGTCAACGCTTGTCATATCTGATGCCCGAGTAGTTTCTTTTGAGAAGGAAGTGGCTTAAGTTCAAAGCGTTCATATTGCTTACAACTTACAACTTAGTGTAGTGGTTTTACTTAGATATTTAGCATCATTTATTAGCTACACCTTTACCATTTGAGTTTCTTCTGTACTAAGCATGCCCTTCATGTAGGTGTTATTCGATTTTACATTTTATCTTGTTTACCATAGAAAGGGATTAATAATAGGGAAAAAAGACTTCTCTGTAGTTCGGATGTAACAGACTGCACTCATATGTGACTCTTTCATCATCAAATTAGAATGACTACAACCCATCAGATTTATCTCCAACTTAGAAGGTGGTATAAGGTTATGACACATAACTGAGTTATCTTCGCTTAAAGATTTATTACCCACTATTAAAACCATATCATGTTTTCTTTGGCTATATGCATTCCCTCATTTCCTAGTCACCCTGTAAATTTAATTTCACAGCAGGTTTATGTAGGTAAAGATTCACCAATACCTGTTGGCGAAAAGGGGGTTACAACTTACTTAATTGCAAAGTAGTGTTGAATTTCTAGGAAAAAGCTCTGATTTAGGCCTTGGAAAATGTCCAGCGGAGAGGTGAAGAAAGTATCACGTGAAGATATTCAGCTGGTAAGCCATTTCATATCTAATTAGATCAAATATTTATTGTCATGGTGACATGGCAGAATTGGAATGTTAACATGGTGGTGTGTTTACTTCAGCTTTCTACATTTGTGTTTTCACTTACTTTTCCAGTTTTCACTTTCTATTTTTTAGTTTCAATTTTTCATTTGGAATCTTGAAAATGGTTCAATTTTAACTGTGGTATATTTTATTTATAAAAAGTGCGTATATGAAATTCAATTGTTTATTCGTGTTCAATTATTGGTTGCTAGTTATATAATGTTAAGTGAGAATATCATTGGCCGACAATAATGTTAAGAAAACAATGATCCCTGAACATGATTCTGTTTGAAAATCTTTACTAGAAACTTTTTCCAAGGAGAATACTCGCAATATTTCTTACTGCTTCAAATAACTGTCCAGGTGGCTGTAACACGTATTGTGTAATTAGCGTAACTTACTAATAATTAATAGGGGTAGGCACGGTTGGTTAACCGCCTTTCAGTTAATCAACTTCCGGTTAACCGAGAGTTCGGTTACTATATTTTCAATACCACTATCCATACCATAGTATCGTTTAACCGGGTATTGATTAACTGAAATTCTGGTAGACCACTAACCGGCTAACCAAATAACCATGAAATAAATAAAATATGAATTAAACTGCCAAATTAATAAAATGCTTGTTCGATCAATGTAAAACTCATGTTGAAGATATGAGATACTTACTATAGCTTTTCAGCCTGTAATGTAGGATCGAACTAATATATTTATATATTTAAAATTCAAAGCAACTCTTCTTCTTAATAAATCAGAAGAAATAATTATGCACAGTCTATGCAATTACTACACCCATTATAACTAGCTAGAGAAAGTATCTTACGGAGCATTATTTTATTTGCTTAAAATATACTGCGTTTGTCCTTTATGCCTACCAACATTGCTCCTTAATTATCCCCATGTCAACCGTCCCTAATTTGTAAGTTTTCCCTGGGCTTTGAATTCGCAGCATGGTTGCTGTCCGGATGAATAAACCACCTATTGTGTAGTAATGTATTGCAATTAAAGATTTTGACGGCATATACAAAGCATATAATGTATGAACTTCCGGTTATCGATTAACCAACCTTGGGATAATTTTAAAACCATAACCATACTGTGAACCGTTTTTTTCCTTTCGGTAGGTTAATCGTACCATATTTTTTTCAAAAAATCAGTTCGGTTAACCAAAATATGCCAGTTTTTGTTTTATTATTTGGTATGCTGGTTATGGTTTTTTATGCCCACCGCTACTTACTATGCACTGGTTCAATGTTTTACTTCAACAACTTTTTATTTCAGGTTCAAAATCTCATAGAACGGTGCCTACAGCTTTACATGAACCAGAAAGAAGTTGTGAGCACCCTCCTACACCAAGCCAAAATTGAGCCAGGCTTTACTGAACTTGGTAATTACTCATTTCTCATTTCTTACTTAGGTATTTCCTCTATAATACAATTAAGGAATGTATATATAGGACGGGGTTTCGGTGAGAAATGAAAATGAAATTTAACCATTGAAAAAAGGAATCATGATGCTCAAATGATAATTGATAATTAATTTTTCCATCCTACTTTTGTTTGTCAAAAGGAGTTGTAACTTATAAAAGGTAAGGGTGGGATTAATCATCATGTAACGGTATAATTGTAAATAGAGTTTGTTAACTGGAATACACAATTTCATTTAGGGAGTGAGGTCCCGGCAATTATTCTATTACCCTTTAAAATATCAGACACATTGTGCATACTTTTTTTGACCGGTTGTACCATCCAAAAATTGCGCTAAAGTAGTGAAATCTTTATGTTAGTGCACTAAGTTTGGTGAAGTGGTACCATTACCTGTGGTTGCATCAAATCTGAGTGAAGTGCATCAAATGTCAGTATATAGTCCACTAGTGTCGTACTGTAGTAGACGTTTAATTTCTAGATATCAACAAATAAATACTCCCTCTGTCCCCATTCACAGGTTCCCACTTTCCTTTTGGGACGTCCCATTTAAAGGTTCTCATTTCAATTTTAGAAAACAATTAATACTCTTAAATGTAAATTTAATTATCAAGTGTTAAAATAATACATATATAACATCAGAGTTATCGTCAATGACTCCATTATATTATATAACCATCAAAATTATTTCTCAAAATGTACTCAAATTACCATATTTAATTATCGTCTAAATTAGGGGTGGGCAAGAACCGTTAACCATACCTTTTTTTTAACCGGTACTTTTTTGGTTAACCATACCTTTTTTTTTAAATCTAGCTGGACGGTTAACCAACTGATAGAAAATGCGGTTAACGGTACGGTAACGGTTATGAAACTAAATACCGCTGGTTAACCGGCCGATAACTCAAAATTAATACGTAGTATATTACTACAGAATTCATATATTATTGTTCATTTCCGTTTAAGAAATCCGATGTGAATTCCTAAAACTTTTTGGTAAGTGCGTATTGTACATAATAGGAGCTTTATTCAATATGAACTACAGATCGATTTGCAAACTGCAAATATTGTATGTCAATTTAGATTTATTATTTAATTTTACGTTCGAACTCTAGATTACAATTTCATTTTAAGTTCAAAATTGAATTATTCACGGATTAGTCAAACCAGAATTCAGAATCATAGAGGCAATTTTCTCAACTTTGGAAATTCATATTTCAAATCAATTTTTTAAAGTTATATAATACGTATTACAGCACATCCGTGTACAATCATAAATTATACTACGCACGTATTGTACTACTGCTCCAAGTCATCATTTTAGAAACAATAATAGTCCGTGGTTTCCTTTATAAATAACTTTGCAAATTGCAATCTGTATACGTAAATGTACATTTACTGGGTGACAACAAAACTGAGGATAGAGGCTTAATACTACTATGGCCAGTGATCTAAAATGGTTTTTTTGGTTAACCAATTATGGTTAATTGTTTACCCGGTTAACCGTCGTTATGGTACGGTTAATGGTATTATAAATATACTAACCGATATCTCGGTTAACCATAAGTTGGTTAACCGAAATACGGTTAACCAACCATGCCCACTCCTAGTCTAAATAACCGTGCCTTTTTGTAATGGGAACATTTGAATGGGACAGAGGTAGTAATAGATAAGATTAAAAGTGCATTGAGTTATTATCAATTGAGTATAACGTACGCTTTGCATACATGTGTTGACTAAAGTGCATTGTATTATTGTAGAAAACATTTAAAGTTGATAGCTAATATGTGTATAAAATTTTCAATTCGGTAGAAGTGCGTTTAAAAAAAACATTCCATGTAATTGCATTTCTAACTTTTCTAGATTGCTTCTGCAGAAAAAAATAACAACTATTCTACAGTGCAACAAGCGTGGTTTGTATTTGCTTTTGACTGTGGAGCCTTAAATTTTAAATGAAGTGCATCAAATCCATTTGCATTGCACTAGTGTGGTGATGTAGTAAACATTGACGTTGAATTAAAAAACTTAAGAATGTAAAAGTGCATTGTATTGTAATATTAAGGAGATTATAATTAGGATTTATTGTGCATTGAGTTCGTATCAATAGAGTGCATTTAACATTTATGTCGAAGGATTAAAGCCTTAAATGTATAAAAGGGGAAAATAAAAAAGGAAGAAAACTGTCTCCTTAAAAAGAATATAAAAAGAAACATAGAAATAAGTCGATGTCAATGTTATAACCGTAAAGGAAGAAAATTAAATGCAATCTAAAGTGGGGAGATACTTTCGGGTATAAACATTGAAAAAATGCTGAAATCACAAAATTACCCTCATTATCACATCATCTCTAAAATGACTTGATCTAATAGTTAGAATTCCTTTCATTTCTCTCATTAGGTTTCGTTCTCATTTGAACCAAATTATATGTATACATACACACACATATTTGACATGTACATAAATTATGAGGCCAGAACTATCTGACAGAATATTTTTACTGTTGATCGTCCGTCATATACAAGATGGTTAAAAAATTTGAGCTGTTCCAACCACAGTGGTTGGCCGCACCGGTACTTCAATCCAGCTGGCCCAAATCAAATGTGTGGATGGCCTAAAAGAATGTCCAGACCTGAGCAGTCCTATAAATTGTTAATGAGAAAAGAGAAAAAAAAAATACATCTGCAAATCATAGTGGAGTTGCTAATAAAAGACAGCTCATTGTATTTAGAAGTTACACTATTGAATCACAAAAACTGAATTTGAATTTCATAAAAGTTCGATATATAAAAAGAGATTTGCGCTGAATGCAGGTAAATACAGGTGCCTTGAAAACTCAACCCATCCAGATGGACCTGATCTCAACCCTTAGATTTAAGATGAGCAGTTATGGTCATGCTAGGGTTATTAAATGTATCCACTCAATTGTTTTTAACTTATCAAAGTACCCATCTATAGTTGGGTGCTTACTGAAATCAATTCCCCACTCACATGATTACTGAATATTTTTCACTTTTTTCAGTGTGGCAAAAGCTTGAAGAAGAAAACCAGGAATTCTTCAGAGCATACCGTTTGAGGTTAATAGTGAAGGATCAAATATTGAGATTCAATGAGTTGCTTGAGAGGCAAGCTAAGCTAATAAGTCAGATATGTCCACCTGGAGTTAATTCGATTCCCCTGGTCACCGGTGGATCTCAAATACATCAATGTAAGGAGCCTGTTTTTGTGTTTTAGGGCTTTTTGGTTGCCGGAATTCAGTGGAGAGGGCTGGGAAGAATTTATATATGTTTTACTAATTTTCTCTATGTTAGTTAAGATCTAAAAATAACTACTCTTCCCCCCCCCCCCCCCCAAAAAAAAGTGTGTTTGCGTAGGGTATAACTTTCTGTTTTGTCACAACTTACAACTCAATCAAGGTACAAGCTTTTACAAGTTATGGATGGTCACTCATATCGCAAACATTTACATGATTGTTTAGAATAATTTACCAAAACCGCTATCCGCTTAGCTTTCCATGACCTTTCTTTAGAAAGAAAAAGGACCTTTTATTTTAGTTAAAATGGACTAGTTTATTTAGGACGGAGGGAAATTTTTTGGGCGTCATTTACCAATTTTATTAAAGAAGATGAAGAGCAAGATACAGAGAGGGGGATTGGGGGATGAAAACCTCACCTTTTTAAGAAACACAAAAGGATGTAATATGTATCTCTTTATTTTTTATGTTTTCATGAAATGTTGTTTTTCATGTCAACAGTACATGATAACTCTACCTGCGCAACAACTGATAACATTGGACCGGTAATGAAGGCTGACACCATGAGCCAAAATATGAATGCCAGTTTACTTAATGTATACTCCAACAGCGTGTCCTCCCTGCAAACTCGTATGGAAACTGCCCTCGATATGTCCTCTCATCATCCACGGAGGATTAATGTCTTACCAAGCACCCTGCTGGCTCAAAATGCTAGTGTGGGGTTGATGCATGGGGGACAACTCATCAAATCAGAAGCAGCTGCTTCTCCTGCTTATCGTCATCCTGCCAATCCCCATTTTATGTTTGGTAGTGACAACAATGTTTTGGAAAACCGCCCTGTCATCACGGATGCGTCCATTTCATCCTTCAGTAGTGTGGAGTCTAATTCACAGAGCCTGAACGAGACTGTCTTGGATGCTGCTGATACATCCTTTGGGTTCTTGGGGCAGATTCCCCGCAACTTCAGTTTGTCCGATTTGACAGCTGACTTTGCTAATAGTTCAGGTCTCTCTCTCTTCTCCCCCCCCCCCCCCCCCCCCTCTCTCACTCTCTCACACACACACACCAGCAAGATAGTTTCATTTTTTACCTAGCTGTTGATACTATCTTTGAATTTATGTTTTTTAAGAAGATATTTTAGAGACATATTCGAGATCGCCCTTCCTAGCTTCAGACACAGATAGCTTCCTGGATCCTCGTTGTATGAGAGAGCACCGAGGTGAACATTGTGAATTATTGAATACGTTTAAATGACATTAAAAAAAATCGCAGTTTTTGTTAAAGATCTTTAAAGATGTGTGCTAAGACATTAATCTGAGCTGCACATAATTGAAAATATTCATTAATCATTATGATTTATATTTTCATATTTCAACATGGTCTCCTTCGCCAATTTAAATGGGTAGTGAAGTCATTTGTTATTTTTACCTCCACTCCATCGTAAAATAACTTTTCATATTTTCTTGCTCATTTTGTCATTTCTCATTTGATGTGTGTAAAAATTTTCAGGCCCATTTGCTCCGTAGATACAACCCCTGGAGGAGTTTCGTGTAAATAAGGAATGGGACATGGTGAAGCGTTCAAAATGTGTAGACTGGCTTGATTTATTGGTCGGTGCAACTCTTGTGGATAAGAAATATTTTTGTCAAAGAATGGGTGGGTATATGTGCATTTGTTTTGTGCAAATAGGTTTATTACAGGAAAATCATCAGTATGCGTTTATGTGAATGGCGGTTCTAATCTGATGGATTTGTGAAACGTTCATGCTTAATGGTGGTGAAATATTTATTACTAAATTGTGACTGTTTATTACCATAGTAGTTTCGGTGTTACCTTAAATGGTTTTAGACTTTAGTAGAGATCATACATTCATATGGGTGGACAAGTCACACGCTGCTCCAGTTCTGGTACAGTTTTTACCTCATTATAGAACAATCTTTCCAGACCCAAAGTCAATGGGTCAACAAAGCTGTTGGTTCTGTGGCCTGATTAGTGGTCTTTATCGGCTCTACTGTCCACCCTTTGGTGCAGCCGTGCAGCAGTGCAGGGGTGGACAGGATTCTGGTCCCAAAAGGCCAAAACTGATGTGGACAGGAATTGGCCGGTTGAACCCAGTTCTATTTGATTTTTTTGCATTATGTTCATTGGGGAGTCGATGAAATGGGGTGGTGGGTTTTATTTGGAGGCTATAAAGGGGTGGAGAGGGTAGGTGGGTCTAAAAAATAAACTTGGAACTGTCTGGTTGACCACTTGACCGGAATTGGCCGGAACCGGAATTATAGGTCCACCCTCTTATATATAAATGGCGGAATAGGCAGGTATAAGACCGAAACCAGAACTAATCCATCCCAACTTTGGTGCAACCAAAATGATTTTAAATTACAACCCATGATTTACATTCTTTTCTACAACCTCAAAAGACGAAGGAAGTATCAAAAATTTTAATCAAATGAGAACGTAGTTGAAAATCCTGCAACAGTTGCAACACTTTCGTATCTTTGAAGTTAATGGTGTAACAAAGAAAGAATACGGATAAGAAAAACATAATTAGGCAAAACTTGGGAATATGTTAGGAAACATTAGGTGGGGGATGAGGGTTACTACATTAAAATATGCCTAGCTTGAAGCAGATGTTTTTTAATCTGGGAGAAGGAAATTTGACTGGTCTCTGGATGCATACACAGCAATAGATGCCTGAAGCTCTCTGTCCACCTTGAAGTGAGCATGAAAGAACCTTTTTATCTGTCAACAATGTAGGGTTATAGACCAATAACAAAGATAACAACCCTGAAAAATAGAAGAAAATGCCAAATCACCTCCTTGAAATTGTGTAAAGCGAGAAATTCCTGCAATAGCTTTTCTTGTGCATCAAACACCACAATGTGGCTAGGTAAAGACCAACCTTTTGCAAACTGAGTTGCAAAACCCACTGGGTCGAACAAGAACCGATCAGACTCGTCTACCACTCCTTTCACTTCACTGTTGAAGCATTTCCCATAAGAAAACAGTTGCATTCTATTTTACAGTGTATAAACACATATGGACATAGAAACAAGAACAAGTAGGCAGTTTGATACCTTGGTGTACAATCCAAGAAGCGCATAGGAATGTTACGGTGAAGGGTTGAGTAGTAAGGTGTCGCATGACAAGGTGTCAAGAAAAGGATGCTTGTTACGTTCCCACTGGTTGCTTCAACAGAGAGATAGTTCATGACGTCCTCAGTTCCTCTCTGAGAAGCATACATTGCAAGTAATTAGTAAATTAAAATTGTATAAGGTTTTTTTAAATCTCTATTGAAAAAATCCATATCCAAGGTTCAAATCTTATTAATGTCCCAATAAAAAGCCACATTTTGACAAAAGAAGCTGAATCACAATTAATTTAACACTTTTTGTGAATGTGCTTCAAACAAGTTAAGCTTTGCTAGATGTAGCTTAAGAAACAAATTATTTTTTAAAACTAAAATTTAAAAGTTATATGGTTCAAAAAAAAAATGAAAGTTATATCTTATTGAAACTCTGTTCACTTTTTGGGGTGGTTGACAGAGTTTAAAGAATCAGATACCTACCTGATGGACCAAACTCATATACAAAGCCATGGGAATATTTGTGATTAGTAGGAAGAACACGCAAAGATGCTTTTTTGATAACCCTGTGTAACTGGTCCTTGAGAAACTAGGAACTCCTAATCTTGCCAGTGAGTACCCAGAGAACATTAAAGCGATGGGAAGCATGGGGAGGACAAACCTGTCACTTCACACTAATTAGAGAATAGTATAATGTTTAACGTCAGAACAGATAGTCATCAGCAAAGAACTAAACTTAATAAAAGGTGCAAATATGCCCTCAATGTTTGCCTCCTCTAGCTAGTAAAGGTACCTTTAGCACTTGACATTTTTCAGGTCGCTTAATGTTTCCCTCTAGGTTTATAGTGACCCTTATTTTCCTTAAACGCTATTAAGCTAAAACAAAACTGCAAAACCCACCAAAATTTAATTAATTCAGTGTGTAAAATGACAAAAGTCAAAGTTAAAATTATTTTGCACTTAGAAATAAATGTTAGGGGTGCACCTTTTAATGATCAGTCTTCACCCAACAGTCTACATTGCATTTTATATTACGAATTTAATGGCACAACCTCAACTAGATTGATTAAGGTGCTGAAAATGAAGATGATGGCAATGCACCCAAAAAAATGCACATACAGTGAAGGACATAAAGGCAGATTTGCATGTTTTCACTAAAAACTTCCATGTGAAGTACCTGAACTCTTTGTGGCTTAACAAGCTATAAACCCCCAAGACCCATGCAATGAGACCAGGTAGTTTACATTGTTTAGACATGATAGCTCCGGCTAAAGAAAATGGTAGGAATGTAAAAACCATCACCGTGAATCCCTGACTGAGGTACCAGTGCCATACATGAGTTCCATAATAGTCGCCTCCGGAAGAGAGGAAATTGAACATCAGAAAATTAAGAGGCACGATCACCCAAGTCCCATACATCCACCGATCCAACAGAAGTGTGACTCCAAGTATCAATGTCCTGATTCCATATGTTTATTATCAAACTAGGTAAGTAGTTTTTTTAAGTCTACTTTGGCATGTAATAAAATACCATACTGTTGGAAATAGGAAATGCATAAAGGTATCATGAAAGCCTAATTATAGTTTTCAAGATGATAACTAAGGCAGTTATTATTCTCAGGATCCATTTCAATAGTTATTTAACTATAAAGCGTAGATCAAGCGTCTATAGCTTCATTTGGTTGCCTAATATGGCCAATTCTGCTTATCTACAGAACAAGTAGAATAAGCAAGTTTTGACTTGCTTATTTGGGTGAAACTGTAAAATGGGCGGAATCAAAAACCTTTATTTTAAAAACTCAGCAGATTCATCAAATTTTAGCTGATAAACAATAATAAATGGACTCTACTTGCAATAGCTTGAGATGGCAAGAAGCAACAAATTTTCTTATAGTATATACAAATGATTGAAATTATTTACCATTGAGTGTACATTTACAAATGATTGAAATTGATTCTAATCCTTAATTTATTGAAGTTATTTAGGGAAATCATTTTTTGTAAGATCCAGTGTGGTCTAAATCTTTCATGGTATGGATGTTTCTAGTCTGGTCCGGCTAGCTAAATGTATGGAATCTGGCCTGGTTAAAATAAGAACAGGTAATAAGCAAGAAGTGAAGGTGAAGATTGCAGCACCCTAGTGCATTCATCTCTCATTGAGTGTGCATAGTTATCTCATTATTTGAATTCTAGAATGGTAATTCATGTTTATACAAAGTTCTATCATGCTTACCCAATAGGAACCACTTCAAGAAAAATAAAATGCATTTTTTGATCTGCAAAGTACAACTCCAGAAGGCCAACATACAACCACGTAATGGCACTTGTTGGCCGGATGGCACAAGCCAATGCCGCGAATGCCAAAGCCCACTTTCTTGAACCCGAGGGGGGCGTGTTTGGATATCTCATAATGGAAGGCCAGTTGTAGAGGCTCACTAGTGTAAGAACTGTCTCAAAACTATTAGACAAAGTTCGAGTAAAAGAGAAAAACATGAACCAATTGGTTAATTGTGCAAACAGCTGGAGTTGAGTTAAGTATTGTGTGATTGTCATCCATCAGAAATAAGAAAAAATTGGTACAAATAACTTCCAGCTGAATAAAATCAGTATTTTAATAATAATGAAGGAAACAACGAACAAGTTAGAGTGCAACAAGTGGTATATAATTATTGAAGGATACTGCCCATATTGCTACATGGTCATCAAATAACTTTTGAGAAATCTTATACAAGTAAAGATCACCAACAGCAGAGAAAACAGACTGCAGGAGTCGAGGAGTCCTTATCTGTTACAGGCAAAAGATAAATTTGTGTAGATGGTGTATGCATTCAGCTAAACAATGTAAACAACAAAGAGTGTCCAAAAGATACCACCTCAGTCCCAAAAAAAGAGTTGTGCTTCACCAAAGGCACAAGTCGACAACTTTTAAATTTTAGTAGTGTACAAATCAACAATTCTAGCTGTATTAACGTATTTAAGTTGTATGAAACAATTAAAAAGAACATTAAATATATATAAAATAACTTTCTATCAAATAGAACTCTTTGGGGACAAAAATATGTTTTACAACAGGGCATTTTTGGGTTAGGGAATCAGGGGAGGAGATTAACCAAGAATGCATTCAAAAAACAGCTCATGAACTTTCAAAGCTGATGAGTGTACAACAACAACAACAACAACACACCAGTGCCGCAAAGGCTCCCACCTACATTGAGGTAAGGGGTCGGGTCGGATGTACGTAGCCTTGCCCCTGTATTAAAGCATAGACAGACTGTTTTCAGATGACCCATGATTCAAAGCTGATGAGTGTGTTTTCCGTAAAGCTCATAGGTGAGAAGGTATATAGGAAAAGCTAAAAAGCAAGTCACCATATAGAATAACCTACAACAACAACATTACTCCAGTGACGCAAAGGCTCCCACCTACGGTGGGGTAGGGGGTGATAGGTAATGACCTAATTACAGTAATTATGAGAGCTAGCGATGAAGAAAAGAGATGTATGTAACAATGGAAGGTGTCATATAACAGAAAAGAGAGAGAAATGCAAAGGAAGTTAAAGAGTGCCAACTCTTCAAGTCCCAAGCCCAAGATAATTCCAGCCTACCTGTTATTCTACCCTCAGCATCTATTTCTACTAACTCTTCTAATATTATTATTATTATTATTGTTATTAGTCTACTTGGGTCCCTATCATCACTCCCTCTTTGACAACCACCTTGTCCTCAAGGTCACCTGGACCTTCAGCTTCATCTTCTAGCTTGCGTCTCTTCCTTCCCAGTACCTTAATGATTGCGGGTCCATGAGCTTCATTGCCTGGAGAA